CAATCGTGGGACCCCTGGCCAGCATCGGCGCATAGCTGCATTAGCGGGCGCCCCCAGAGTCCTGGAGTTCCTCCAGAGCCCGGCCTGCGTCAGCGTCTCGCGGTGGGTGACGAAGCCGAGCCACTCGTAGGAGTCGACCGCCGACGCGATGCCGCCGGCCTCCCGCGCCAGCTGGCCCCAGTCCACCCCCTCGGTCGCGCCGACGACCACCTTCTGGGTGCCCTCCGGCTCCTTCGCCGTGAGCGGGGCGTACCTGAGCTGCAGGTTGAGTGTGCCAGACTCGGCCGCCGGCGCCAGGGCCTTGGCGGCCATCATGGCGGCCCCCGCCACGAAGGAGGCGCCCCCGGTGGCCACGCCCGTGACCTGGAGGGACGACGAACTGCATGAGCCACGAAACTGCCAAGAGGTCCGCGCGGATCTCTCGTCGGGGGCGCGAAAACATGGATCAGCGATCCATGGATTTGGCGATCCCCCAAAACGCGGCCGGTGCCGCCTCGCTCGGCGGCGGGAACCCGCGATTTCCCATGGAAACGGGGCCCGTCGCAAATCCGCGCCCCCTTGGTCCATGTTTGCGATCGCCTGATCTTGGGTCAGCGCTGACCCCCCCTCTGGAGCGGGGCCCGACCGTCCCGGCATTCCTATAGTCATACCACGAAATATTCTTAGAACCCCCAAATGTTCAAATAACAAAAACAATGTTCTTAGAACATAAACCCGATGTGTTAAAGCAAGACAGTCCCGACCAGAAATGTTCTGAGAACTGAGAACATTCCCTGGGAACCACAAAAGGTTAATAGAACATTGTTTGGTGGGGCTATAGGCGAGCCGGGACGCTTCGCCACTGCTTGACCCTCACCCCCGTCCCCCTGGCGCGCCGAGCGCGCCAGGGGCGCCGAAGGCGCCGCCCGGGTGTGGTGGGGGGCAGACCTCCGGCTCCACAAGTCGGCGCGGACCTCCGAGAAGTCTGTGCCCGTGCCGTTCCTCCTACGCACTCCTCGCCGGCCTCCCTCCTCCCCCCTTGCCCTCCTCCTGCTCGACCCTTCTCCTCGAACCCTCCCCTGCCACTCCTCAATCTTCCTCCTCCTCCCCCTCCTCCTCCTCCTCCTCCTCCTCCTCCCCCTCCTCCTCCTCCTCCCCCTCCTCCTCCTCCCTCCCGCTCTCGGAGCAGGGCGAGTGGAGACAACGGCAGCTCGGACCCCTCCCGAGGTCCAAGCGCACCCAAGGTCCGAGCCGCGCAGCCGGGGGCCACCCCCGAAGGCCAACTACCGTTCGGTCGGGCGTGTCCTCCTACAGTCGGGCCGGGCGAAAGGGGGGGATAGCAAAGGGGGGGGTTGAGCATCAGCTCACGTAGCTGATTTTCCCGGCGTCTCCCGGCGCCGGAGGCGCCCATGTATCGAGGAATGGGCCCCTCGGTGGGGCCGAAACCAGCTGCACGCAGTAGATTTCGCACCCCCCCCTTTCCATATCCCTCCCTTTCGTTCGGCCAGATACAGGCGGAGATTGGAGGAGAAATCAAAAATGGTCAAAAGAAATGTGCAAAACAAAAAGCCAAACATAGTCCAAAAGTCGTCCCCAGGATATTTTCTAACTATTCTTGAATGCACCTCCTGATGAGGGACGTGTCCGACTCAAAACTAGCTGCACGCAGTAGATTTCGCACCCCCCCCTTTCCATATCCCTCCCTTTCGTTCGGCCAGATACAGGCGGAGATTGGAGGAGAAATCAAAAATGGTCAAAAGAAATGTGCAAAACAAAAAGCCAAACATAGTCCAAAAGTCGTCCCCAGGATATTTTCTAACTATTCTTGAATGCACCTCCTGATGAGGGACGTGTCCGACTCAAAACTACCGCTCTCTCAACTCGCTCTGCTCTGATTCTTTCTGCTCCTCGGCGACCGCGGCGCCGGCCGCCCCCAGGCCCATGAGGCCCCATCGCGCCCTCCTCCTTCCAGAGAGGGGACGGCGAGAGCAAAACGGAGGAGGCACAAACTTCTGACGAGCGGAGGAGGAGGAGGATGGGAGGGCCCCCCCCCCCCCTGAGCGAGGATGAGGATGAGGATGAGGAGGAGGAGGAGGAGAGGAGGAGGAGGAATGAGGATGAGGATGAGGAGGAGGAGGAGGAGGAGGAGGAACAAAAAGAAAAAGGAGGAGGAGGAGTGTTTGTAGCATGTTTCCTTCTTCGAGACGAGCCGTTCCACACCACGGGCTCCCTCGCGCCCAGGGCGGCGCCCACGGCGCCCAGGAGCCCGCCAGAGGTGGGGCCCCCGATCTTGGGGCCGAGCTCGATCTCCACCGCCCCCAGGAGCTCGTCCGCCTCGCGGGGGAGAAGGAGGAGGAGGAGGAGGAGGAGGAGGAGGAGGAGGAGGAGGAGGAGGAGGGGAGGAGGAGGGGGACGAGGAGGAGGAGGAGGAGCGAGGAGGAGGGAGGAGGAGGAGGGTGGAGGAGGAGGAGGAGGAGGGAGGAGGAGGAGAGGAGGAGGAGGAGGAGGAGGAGGAGGAGGAGGGGGAGGAGGAGGAGGAGGAGGAGGAGGAGGAGGAGGAGGAGGCGGAGGAGGGGAGGAGGAGGAGGGGAGGAGGAGGAGGAGGAGGAGGAGGAGGAGGAGGAGGAGGAGGCGGAGGAGGAGGAGGAGGAGGAGGAGGAGGGGAGGAGGAGAGGAGGAGGAGGAGGAGGAGGAGGAGGAGGAGGAGGAGGAGGAGGAGGAGGAGGAGGAGGAGGAGGAGGAGAGGAGGAGGAGGAGGAGGAGGGAGGAGGAGGAGGAGGAGGAGGAGGAGGGGAGGGAGGAGGAGGAGGAGGAGGAGGAGGAGGAATAGGAGGAGGAGGAGGAGGAGGAGGAGGAGGAGGAGGAGACGAAGGCGCTGACGCGCGACCCCACGCGGGCACCGCTTGAAAAAAAGCGGCACGAGATCGGGGACGGGTGAGCTGCGACAACGGTGGCTGGCCGTCGGCAGGTGGCGACATCCCGACCATACCTCCACCCACCAGCGGTTCTCCGGAATCGATGGGAGGCAGGGGTAGGGTTCGGATTTGGCCACGTGCTGAACGAATTCCGAAGCCTAACCCCCGCCGCCCCATCGAGTTGCCTGAATCGTCGATCGGCGGGGGTGGGGTTCGGATTTCGCCGCCATTACGTAGGGGGGCCCCCTCGTCGCCACGGCTGGATACAGCTCGGAAAACTGGTGCGTTTGGACCCCAGAGGATGCGGGCCCCAATAATATCCACCACCACCACCACCACCACCACAACCACCACCACCGCCGCCACCACCGCCGCCGCCGCCGCCGCCACCACCACCACCACCACCACACCATCTCCATTCCCCCCCCCTCCTCAACCCTCATCTTCCTTTCCTCTTCCCTGGGGGAGGAGGGGGATGAGAAAGCTGGTGGTGGTATATACCTCTGGGGCCCCGCAGAAGACTTCCGAGGGCGGTGTCAAACTGTCGCTGCCTCAACTCGCCCTGCTCCGACGAGCACAATCCTACGGAGGTCCGCGCGGATCTCTCGGATCAGCGCAAGTCGGGCGTTGGCAGAACTGGGTTTAGTGGGACCTGGTTTAATGACGTGTACTGGGGAACGCCCCCCCCGCCCCATTCCACTAACCGGAACTGCCGTCACCCGAAAAGCACCAGCTACGGCAGACCTGGTTTAGTGATTCCAGTCCATATCTTGGGCTTCGGGGCCAAATCACTAACCGGCTCCCCTGAACCCGGGCCCCGCCCTGGCGTGACGCTACGGCCTCCCTGGATAGACGAGCGCGACACTCGGCAAGTGAAGGAGCAGAGCAAGGCCGACTCCTACTGCCAGGGGTGCCTCCGCGGTCCGTTCAAGCACGACAAAGGGGCGCGGCGTACGTCAGCACGGTGGCCTTCGCCGACGACGGGGGCCCCAGGGCACCCGGACGCACACAAAGTGTTCAAACTCTCCACAGTGTGAGCTTCGTGCAGAGGGCGTGCGGCAGCCGCGGCGCGTGCGGGGCAGAGGAAGGGGAGAAGAAGGAGGAGGGGGAGGAAGAGGAGGAGGAAGAGGAGGAGGAGGAGGAGGAGGAGGAGGAGGAGGGGGAGGAAGAGGAGGAGGAGGAGGAGGAGGAGGAGGAGGCCACGGAGGGGGGTCCGGCGCCGACCCGAGAGGAGCCGTGCGGACCTCCGGAGGCGCGCGGCCTCGCGCCGCCGTGCCGGAGAAGGGCGCCTCTCCAGGCCCCCCCCAAGCCACTATTAGGAAGGCACCAACTATACACCAACACCAATCCTTGCCAGGATCACCCTGGGCCCAGGATCGATGTATACGCCCTCCTGCCTTGGGCAGAATGCGTATACACCGATCCTGGGGCTAGGATCGGCCTGACCAGGATCGGTGTAGGTGTATAGTTGGTGCCCTCCGAACTATGCGGGATCATCTCGGCGCCCCTGGAAGCGACACAAATTGCACACGCGCGCACACGTCGAAGCACAGGAGCGCACCGACACACTCGTCGTAGAATCTCCGAACGCTTTCCAGAGCGCCTCAGCGGCCGCTCGATGCGCCTCCGACGGTCTCCGCCGAGAGCCTGCCGCCAAGAGCCTCCCAGGGCCACGCAAAGCCTCCCAGCTACTCCCGAAAGAGAGCCCAAGCCACCAACCAGGCAGGATACAGAAAAAGGGGTTCGAACGCGATGTGCTTTTCAGTCCTCGAGCCTTGGCCACGTTCTCGTCCATGACGCGTACGCCCAGGCGCGCCTCCTGCGGGTCCTTGATGTACAGGTTGATCGTCTCGCCCTCCCCCTCTAGAAAGCAGAAAATCCAGTCTCGGAATCAACACCCCGACAAACGAAGCCGTTTAGCAAACGCACCTAATGAGGGAATCGAACAGGGCAGGGCCGTATAGTAAACGCCCAGGGCCGTCTAGCAAACGCCAGCTATCGAGGTTGGGCTGGTTTTTCCCCCCTCGATCCTCGTTCCCCCAGACGACGCGGTCCTGCCCGCCGCCGCGCCAGCGGGTCGTCGTCCTCGGGGCTCGACCTAACCGGTGTTGCCTGCTGTCGCTTTCGTGCTCCATCGATCTCTCTTCGCTCGACCTCGGCTGCGGTTGCTGCGTCGCGGCGCGGCAGGGGGCAGCCCGCGCGCGCGCTCGAGCAGGCCGGGGGGAGGCAAGCGCTATAACTGTCTGGCGGCAAGAGAGGGGGGGGGGCAGAAGAGGAGCAGGCGGGCGGTCGCGCGAGGCTAGAAAAAGGGGGCGGGGGAGCGGAAAGGGCACTCACGGGGCGAAGTGCTTCACCCTGGAGCGGCCGGGGCGGCCTGCCAGGGCTCCGAGACACGGTGTCGAAACAGTGTTGGCCAGCGTGGAACTGTAAGTTGGCTGCGCTTGAGGTGGAAGTTGTGCGGGGTCAGCTGCGTGGCGTGAGCTGTGTTGTGCTGGCGGTGTGGCGCGAGCTGTGCTGAGCGAGCCATGCCGTGCGAGCTGTGTGGCGTAAGCTGCGTGGCAGGACCGAGCTACTGTTGTGCAAGTGATGTGTGAGCTGTGCCGTGTTGCCCACACAGGGCCTGGGGGGGCTACAAGAGCCCACAAGGCGCCTGAGGGCGGGCACGGACGCCAGCGCAGAGGATGAGGAGGAGGAGGAGGATGATGATGAGGAGGAGGGAGGAGGAGGAGGAGGAGGAGGAGGAGGAGGAGGAGGAGGAGGAGGAGGAGGAGGAGGAGGAGGAGGAGGGAGGAGGAGGATTGTTTTGACATGAACTGCAAGGTGACGAAAAAAAGGCGGACGCGTGGCACCACCACCAGGCGATCCCCCACTAATCGAGAGGATCCCCAGTGTTGGCCCGCATGTCCACCTACCTCCACGGCACAGGTTCGATCGACACGCCCTTGCGAGTCGGATGGATGCCTTTGCAAATCTGATTAAAAGGACCAGGTATGCTTGGTCGTGAGGTTGCTACATTATTTAGCCAGCCCTCGCACATAGCTAATAGTAGCATACAAATGGCACTGCAAACACGCTGTAATGAAGGAACCATCCGAAACTAAAAAAGAAACCGCTTGGTGCCCAAGAGCCCTCAGGGTAGGTCCATCGAGCTTCGAGACATTAGGGCGCTCCCCACGCGGCGGGAACGTTGGTCCTTTCCGAGAGAGCAAGCATTGTTGGCACCTACAGAAACCAGGACGATCCCCGATGAGCTCCCAAGCCCACGCACGACCTGGCCCCATTGGGGCCTCAGGCTCTTTGGGGGGGAGGGGCCCAGGGGCAATCTGACAAGTCGAGTCTCGGCCACGCAAGCAGCATTTTAGCCGCGAGCGCACGCGCGGCCTGCGAGACACGAACCTGAATTTCCAAATGTTGCACTTCTGCTTCCGACGGCGGCGGGTGCATGGATGCTCCGAATTTGGCGGCCTCATCGGCCTCGTCATTGCCCATTCTCAGCCAGTGCTCTCGCTCTGAGATGCCCGCTTCCAGCGGGTCCGCATGGGCCTTGACTTCGGTAGTCCCATCCACCCACCTCCCCCCCAGCCGAAACATCATCATTAAACCGGCGAAGGCCTTCTTATAACCGAGCGGCGCTTCGCTAGCCTCGCTGCTGAGCGAGACTACGTTCTCGCAGTCCGAGTAGAAGGCGCACGGGGCTTCAACCTCGAGCCCCCCGCGCGCGCTGCCCGCGAACTCTGCGCATTGCGACGTCTGGATAAATGGGGCATGCACAGGCCCAGACAAAAAGCCGAGCCTACGCCCGTCACCAGAGAGCAAGCCAACCCGTAACCCGCTCTTGAGAGTTCGCTGATCACGCGCCTGCGGCAACTTCCATCTACGAAAATGTTGCCCGAAAGCTGCCACCTACAGGGGGGGGGGCTCGTCCCAAAACATCCTGGCTTGGAAATCGCTGTCTTCGAGGGAGGGCGCAAGCAGCGACGCCTGGGCAGGGTCGGACGTATCCGCGTCAATGGCAGCATTCAAAATGTGAGACTTCACCAACTCTTCACATAATGAAGAGACGCTCGGGCAGGCCCACAGACGGTGCTGGACAGTGTCTCCCGGCTGTCCACAGAGCGCACAGTAATTGGAGACCTCGTAGCCTGCCTTCTCAGCTCTATCGTACGTCCAGAGAGCCTTACAAACCAAACTACGTATGGACCCGTTTTGTCGGTGTACTTCGACGACCTCAAGCGGTTGCGAACCACGTCGTAGCACAGCCTCTGCTCCTGAATACCAGCTTTGCGGGCAGCTTCACGCTCAAGGCTCCTGAGCGAGGCACCGTGCAACATCTTTTTGAGCACCGCAATCGGCGCAACCGTGAGCTGCAGCGATTCACCGAAGTCGTCGACGCATGTGAAAGGACCGCCCATGCTCCAGTTGATCCTCCTCAGGGACAGCCGCAGGGCAGAGATCGCCCCAGATACCTCGCGCCAAGTCGGCCCAGGGCGGTTGAACACCGCCTCCCAGCCCTGTCGCAACTGGGCCCAACTGAGTGAGTAGGGGTAGGAGCGTGTCTATACTGCCCATACCTCCTTGGCGTACCGCAGACTGGAAGCAGCAGCACCAAGCCAGCCTGGATCGTCTTGAACAATCATCGTCGGCGTCAAAAATCGCCCCCCAGCCCCAGGACGCAACGCCGTACCAGCCTCTGGCCTGATCTTCAGAAGCTCGAATTCGGACAGCCCATTGATTTCCGAACCGCACAGCATCCCAGGAAGAGCCCCAGATATCCAAATGCACCGAGTAAACTTCCCAAGGCTACATCGCATACGAGTGAGTTTCTTGGTGCATTTCTTCGGATAGTCGGCCCGAACCCTGAATGTGGCCCCACGTCTAGCAGCTCGCCGAGGTCTACCACCTGCGTCGTCGATCCCCGAAGTCACCGCGCTGTCGGTCATGGGGCCTGCCAGGGGGGCCCAAGAACTTACGCAGGGCCAAGGCGAGACCTCCTGGTTGGTGCTCACGAGAGCCGCCATCCCACGAGAAATCTTGCAGCCACAGTCGTGCTCGATCGCTGAGAACAGCTGGGCACTGGCACCCTTCGGGCCATCGATAACCTGAGACACTGAACCTACTGCAGAAACCCCTCTGTCATCGATATACTAATCGAGGTGAGCGCCTTCCGAGAACCGTAGATTTGAGAAAGCCTCCAGGGTATAGACCTGCACGAACGACGTGGCGAAACTGCAACCAGCGACACCCCGTTCAAGGCGTGGGATGGCCCCGTGACGAAGATTGATAGGCACGCAAAACGGGCAGATCGATACGCTGATATGGCCAGCCTGAAAATGGGGGCGGGGAAGCCAAAGATCTCGCAGTGCTGTTCTAAACGGACCAGGCAAATTGCTTCGTAGAACTTTGAACTCTCCCACAGGAGCGTTGCCGAGACCTGACCTTGGGCAACCCCCGCCTCCCCCCTGAAACTTTGTCTCCAAACCACATCGCTTGCTGAAGCAAACGCCCGGCCTGCATAGAAACTCCGCCGGTGGTTGAGCTCCCACTCCAACGCGAAACAGCGGCGGCACCTGCCCCACAGGCGGTAGAGCGAACAGAACAGGCCGATCGGCCTCCAGCCGCCCGGGGCCTTCATCAGCACCGCGGGCTGCACCGCTTGAAGTTGGGCTGGGAGGTTCGATATCATCTTCATGGCACCAACCATGGGGCATATAACCTGCAAACAGTCGTCGCCCATCCAGCTATAGTGTCTCATATGAAAACCAGGAACAAATCCAGCCTGACCACGGACCAAGGACAAGGGATCCGAGACCACGTTTTCCGAATGACTCAACGTCGTCGAGGTTTTCTAGCCTGCCGCAGGCCGACGGGCCACGTGAGCGCTTCTCCCCCCCAGCTCGATATTGTGTCTCATCGGGCGTTTCCATCCCTTGGCTCCTTCGGTCCTGGCACGCTGCTGAGCTGCTACCACCGCGGCGCCCAGCCACGCTAAAAGATCAGCGAGATGAACAGGCTGGTCCTGCATGGGGCTACCTGCAGCGGACGGGGCAACAGACTGTTCTGACACGAAAATTCGAGACGGCGTCGGGCAAGCGAGGGGGCGAGGAAAAGCCGTGATCGCCGAAAGCGTCTTCACAACCTTCGGCCTCGGCCCCTTCCAAATCGGCAAAGGGGTCCGCAAACTCTGCGCCGAGCGTCGGAGCTCGTCGCTCCTGCTGCGGGCCAGGGGAGCGCCCCGATCCCCAGACGCGGAACTGCCAGCGTCAGCATTCCGAAAATACTCGCGTTCCAAAAACTGCCTGGACCCTCTCACACTAGCCTGCCTAACGAAATCTTGGCACCGTCTCACCAGCTCGCGACAGTGAGCAAGCCCAAGACAAACGTCGCTGGGAGGCTCGAGCAAGAGAGAGGCTTTGATCCAGAGCTCCTTAGCAACAGGCGGAGCAGCTGCCCACTTCCTGGCCGTGATGTGGAACCACTTGATGGCGAACAACTCTGGCAACTCTCAGTGGCGGCCTTTGCAAGCGCCAGCCTTGAACACGGGAGCCCGCTGCAGCCTGGGCATGCCCCCCCCCCCCCGCGCCCCGAAATACCGGAGGGCCGTATGCGCAGCATCGGCGACCTCGACCTCCGCCAGACGCGCCCAGCGCCCATGCAGCCGAGTCGGCCTAGCAGTAGCATCACCGATAGCTCCCCTAGGCACCAGCGAGTCGACCAAGCCCCTGGCCATGCTGAGGGCCCTGATCCAACAAGGGGGGCGGCGGCTCGGGCCGACAAGCCTCTCGGGCGAAATCGGCGGGGGTTTAGCAGAAGCCAAAGCTCGCAGCGAGCAAGCCTTGGGGTACAGGGTAGGATGCACTGGGG